GGAGGAGGAGGAGGAGGAGGAGAAAGGAAGGAAGGAAGGAAGGAAAAGAAGAAGAAGAAGAAGGAAGAAGAAGAGGAGGAGGAGGAGAAAGGAAGGAAGGAAGGAAAACAAGAAGAAGAGGAGGAGGAGGAGGAGGAGGAGGAAGAGTAAAGATGACTATGAAAACCCAAACCCAAAACAGTAAAACCTATAAAAGGAAGCTCAGATCTCCCAAACATCCCCTATTTCCAGTACAGAGGTGGCCCGCATGCTAATGATATGCTCTGTCTCCATCCAGGGCCACCTACTCCTGGCTGAAGCAGAGCCCCAAACTTCTCAGGCGCCTGCCATCTCATCTCAAACTGAGCTTCTGAACAGTGCAAAATCTCAGAGGATGCCACCATCGCTGCTCCATCCCCACTGCACCCCCAGATGCCCTGAACTGGGTGCTAACAAGCCCCATTTCTCACTCTGGATCCTGGGGTTTCATACTCAAATCTCCAGATGAGAGAAGCCCAGGGAAACAGCTGTTTTTACTCATGAAAAACCTCTGGACCAGCAGTCAGGAGCCATTCTCCTTTCCAATCATCTGCTCCCTTCACTCACCAGGAAAAAAAAAAAGGACAGAAACCCAAGGTGGTAAATCTTCCCGCTGTGGTGAATTGCTTTCTAGTCCCCTCTTCATCCACCAAAGCTCCCCCCCCCCACTGTTCCTGGGTGCACAGCGTGGCAGCATAAAGGAAAGGGACCTCAAGCCTGGACTGGGAGCTGAGGGACGGGAATAGTCATCTATCTCTCCAGCGCACAGAGTAAAATAGTTGATGCTATTCCAGCACCCCCAGTTTTGGGGTGCTTTTCTCAGCGTTCTCCATGCTAGTGTAGGGAAAGCTCTCTGCTACCTCTTCCAACACTGTCACCAGCTCCCAAGGCTGACAGGCTGACCCATCCAGGACCAGTTTGAGAAAGGGGCTCAAAAAAGGGGAAGGGGCATTTTCGTGAACATTTGTTCAGTGAATAAACGAATGCGGGGGGAAAAAAGACCAGGAACGCGACTAATGAAAAAAAGTTTCATTTGAAACGAAACAAACCGAACGAAAGCAAACAAATTGTGTGAAGGCAATGAGCAAAGGCCCTCAAACCCAAGCGAGACCTTGTGGGGCCAGAGATGCCAGGGTGGGCGTTTGTAAAGGTGGGGGCCAATTGTGTTTCTGAGGGCTAAGGAAGAGTCGGGCACTGGAAAATCACAGAGCGAATGGGTGCAAACGCGTGTAGGACAATTTGGGGAGCTAGAAGAGGATTCGTTCGGGCTGGAAGACAGAAAGCACCCCCCCACACTCTCCACCCCACCTCTACCCCCCCACCTAAGCACAAAGATGCGTCCCACGGGGGGAGCGCAGGGGCCGCACCCGAAAGCAGCACCCACAGAATCACAGGCAGATTTTTGCTTCTCTTTCCCCTTGGGTCTTAAAAACCTCACGAATTGCCACCGAGGGGACTGCAGTGGCACTGTGTGGGGGGAATGGATGGAGATCTGGGGGTGCTGGGAGGACCCCCCTCCCCCGTGGCTTTTCAAGACCTCACCTTTTTCAAGGCCTCTTAAATGTTAACTTTGTGCAAGTCATCCCTAATTCTATTTCAAACACTCCCTCTTTAACCTCAACTCCCTGGCACTGTCTCTAATTCAGCCCCCACCCCAGCTGGATGGAGCTGGTGGGGCCATCAGTGCTCCCCCCATCTGCGTTTCACAGAAGAGGAAACTGAGGCTCGCGGATAGGTAGCGATTCGCTACGAAAGAGTAGAAGCCGAGGGGAAATAATTGCAGGAGCTCGGATCCCGCTGGGCGGGAGGAGCGGGGGAGGGAAGCTTTGGAAGCAGAAACAGAGAGAACCCCGGGACTCCGGGGACCCCGGGACGAGAGGAACGGGCGTTGGGGAACTGAGGAACGGGCTGGGGCCGGAGCCTATCCGGCGGCCCGCGGGGTCTGCTTGGTTCTTGCACGTGCTAAAGCAGGGACCCGGGGACGGCCCCCCACCCCCAGATCTCTGATCGCCGCCTTTCCCGTCTCCCGCGGCCCTCGGCCCTCCTCCTCCTCCTCCTCCTCCTCCTCCTCGCCCCGGGGCGGCTGCACGCCCGCGCCGGACACAGATTCCCGCAAACAACGCTACGCCCCGGTGCGCTGTGCTGCGGCCCCGGACCTCACACCTGAGATCCGTGGCAACAGCATCGGAGGGGGCCTTACCGGTGTCGCCGCTTCTTCCTTTTCTTGGTCTGGTTTAAAGCCGATTTGGACATTTTTCGATCACTGGAAGAAACATCTTCGGAATCTGAAAAGCGGGCCGGGGTGGGGGGGCATGCGAGAGGATGGGGCGTGCGCTCCGAGGCGCCCTAATCCCGCGGGGGCCCCCACCGGTCCCCGCCCCGGTGACCCCACGGGCCTGCAGTCTCCCCGGAAGCCCCCAGCCCCCGGAACCCCGGCGGCCTGGGCCGCCCCACCCGCGGCAGCGCGGGGATCCGCCCGCTTCAAACAGATTTCGTTGCAAGAGAGGCCAAGGCCCCGGCGCGCTCGGAGGCGCGGGGTGGTGGGAGACCCCTGGCGTGTCAGGAACCCCGCAGCCGTCCTGCCCCGGAGCTCTGAGTCTCAGGTCCGAGGGCTGGCCCAGGAGATGGGCTGTGGACAGGCGTGGGAGCAGCCGGGTCGATGACCCTGTCGTGGAGCACCCCCAATGAGTCCCGCCCGAGGTCGGAGAGGCTGTGATGGGCCAGTTGCCCTTCTAAACCAATATAACAATAATTGATGATGATGATGACGACGACAACGATAATGATGATGAAGAAGAAGAAACCAAAAGTAGGGGAAATGCCGGGAGCTCACAGGGCCGGCGGGCCGAGCGGGCCCCGGACGGACGCACTGCCGCGGAAAGGGGTCCCGGCTGGGGGCCGCAAAGTCAGCCAGGGTCCCCGAACCCTGGAAAGATCCGATCCGGCCCGATATAGTAAGGCTCTTTGTAGGCTCGAGTGGCGGCCTATTCTCCTCCGTCCCACACACACACACCCCGAGATCATGGGGTGAGAAATGAACCCCAGCTGAGCAATGCAGCGGTGTGTCCAAAGTTGAATACGGAGCGCGGGGCCAGCGTCGACACCCGCTTCCTGAGGCACCCGCGTGCAGAACGCTGGGGTCGGGGAGTGTGGGGAGCAAGTGAAGTCGGGGATCCTCCAGCCTGCATGACACCCCTGTCAGGTCTCGGACACCCCGAGCCTGGCAAGCAGAGGGAAGCCCCCCCTCCCCACGGGGCGCCTGGGCCAAAGCCGGGCCGCAGGCTCGTGGAACCGAGCAGCAGCGGTGCGATCCCGGGTCCCGCACCCTGGATCTGCTGGCTGACCCTGGGCCTGCACTAACTTTTTCTCCCGGGGGTGGCGAGAGCCGACAGGCGTGGGGGCTCCCCGCGCGCGCGCCCCGCAGCCCAGCTGCCTCGCCCTCACCTTACCCGAGCTGGCCGTCTGGTTGGCGTCCAGCGGCCCCGATGCTCTGCCCAGCGGCTGCAGGTGGACGCTTTGCGGATCGGACAGCACTTCCAGAAAGGTGGGCTGCGCGTAGAAGCCGGGGAGCCCCCCGGGCCCCAGCAGCCCCATGCCGCCCACTCCTGCGGGGCTGAGCACCGAGCGCGCTGCCAGCAAGTGCCCAGGGGCCAGGCCGTCGAGGGCGGCCCGCGGATGGGAGCTGGGGGGCTCCTTGTTCAAGCCCAGGATCTCCTGGATGCCGAACCCCGTGCACCTGGCCGGGGCGACCCCCGAGGTGCTCTTGGCCACTGTCTCGGACTTGGGCTTGCTCAGCGCTTCTCCCGCTTTGCCCGTCATCTCCCGGTTCTTCGGAGGGGCTGAGGCCGCAGGTCTTTGGCTCCCCCACCCCCCCGCCGGGCTCCCCGCTCCGCGAAGTTGGTCCCAGGTGCCCCCTCCGGTGTCTAAAGCTCTGGAGCCCCAAGGAGATTCCCTTTTTATCCAACCAGGCGGCAGCCCAAGTGGGGTCAGAGCCGAACAGCCAATCACCAGGGCCAGGAGCGATTAGGAATTCCAAAAAAGCTGGCAGCTCGGCCGTCCGCAGGCAGGCAGCGCGCAGGGGCCTGGGCGCTGCGGGACCCGTGCCACCGGCCTCTCTCTGCAGGACGCCCTGGAGCCGGGACCCCTCCCCCGGCGCAGGCGAAACAACCAGGTTCCAGGTTTGTTCTAGGAGGCAAAATGGATAGGGCCTCACCTGACCCTGTCCCTGGATTGGCCCAGAAAGGTCCCTGGGGTGGGACCATGGGCTAAGAGGGGAGGCTAGAGAATGAGAGAGATCTCCTCCCTCCCATAACTCTTACACTGGTCAGCAGTTTCAAAGAGGCCTACCTACAGGATCTGTATAGAGGGAACATGGAAACGGGAGAGCCCTGAGCAGTGTTTGTGGTGGCTGTAGGGATAGAGTAAAAGGGCCAAAGAGGCAGAGGTGGGAGTGGGCATGTCTCTCCAGCACAAAATGCAATGCTCAGTTCAGTCGATCTGCTTAATAAAAACTAGCCCAACCAATCCAAGCATTGCTACCTGTAATCCTAGCTACTGCGGAGGCCGAGATCTAAGGATCTCTGCTCAAAGTCAAAGCCAGCCTGAGCAGAAAAAGTCTGTGAGACTTTTATCTACAACTCACCAGCAGAAAGCCAGAAGTGGAGGAGTGGTTCAAGTGGCTAGAGCACCAGCCTTGAGGGAGAGAAAGTCAAACCAGATCACAAAGTTCTGTGTCCAAGCCCTGGTACCAGCAACAACAATTAAAAAAAAAAAAGCAAACAAACAGTAGCTCAACCAATGAATACATGATCAGAAATAAAGCCCCATGACTTCTTTTCCTTCTCCCCTCCTCCTCCTTTTTTTTTTGGGGGGGGGTGTTATGGCTCAGAGTCTCACTAGGTAGTCCAGGTTGGTATCAAACCCACCACCATCCTGCCAGTCAACCCCTAGTGCTGGAACTACAGGCCTATATCACCACACCTTGCCAGCCTTGGACTTCCCAACATCTTGCTAGAGTAAACATGAGGTATGCTCAGCTTTCACCGAAGAACGCTATTTATGTTGCCATCCAATTATTCAAGTAATGTGAATTGAACAACAAATGGGTAGGCCCTAAGGTTCCACAGTAAAGGGATTTCAGAGTTTATTGAGAAAATGGAATAAAGAGGCGGGGGGCTTGCTGTGGAGAGAAAAGGAGGAGGGAGGGGTATGAGTCACTTTCCCCATGTGATGGGGACCCTTTGATCACTGACTGTCCTTCCTGTTGGAGAAGGAAGGACACAGTGGGGCCAGCTGAAAAGCAGCCAGCGGGCTGGGAATGTGGCTTAGTGGCCGAGTACTTGCCTAGGATGTATGAAGCCCTAGGTTCCATTCCTCAGTACCACATACACAAAAAAGCCAGAAGTCGCTGGGTGCCGGTGGCTCACGCCTGTAATCCTAGCTGCTCAGGAGGCTGAGATCTGAGGATCTCGGTTCAAAGCCAGCCTGAGCTAGAAAGTCCGTGAGACTCTTATTTCCAATGAGCCACTAGAAAACCGGAAGTGGTGCTGTGGCTTAAGTGGTAGAGTGCTAGCCTTGAGCTGAAGAGCTGAGGGACAGTGCCCAGGCCCTGAGTTCAAACCCCAGAACTGGCAAAAAAAAAAAAAAAGAAAAAAGGGAACAAAAAGCAGCCAGAAGCAACTGGACACTACTTTGTGCAGGGTGGGACCTCCACCAGGAAAGTGATTCCTAAGTTCTGAAAATGTTTCATGGAGTACTTGTTTCTCCATATTGTTCCTGCTTGAGGGTCCAGACAGAGCAAAGGAGAGCGGCCCTGAACCCCAGTACCCTTGTACTCCTACACCTCAACTAGTCCTCCTGGGAACTGAAATGAGAAGAGTCGGATCTATCTTGGGAATCCTTTTTCCACTGTGCCTAGCAGACAGCAGGTTTTAGTCAATATTTTTTTCAAAGACACCCTTTGAGGGGAGACAGAGACACAGGCTCAGTGGCTTTGGGCAGCAATTAGCAAACCAGGTTAGAAAGAGAATCCAAGCCGGGCGCTGGTGGCTCACGCCTGTAATCCTAGCTACTCAGGAGGCTGAGATCTGAGGATCTCAGTTCTTAGCCAGCCCGGGCAGGAGAGACTGTGAGACTCCTATCTCCAATAAACCACCAGAAAACCAGAAGTGGCACTGTAGCTCAAGTGATAGAGCGCTCACCTTGAGCTGAAGAGCTGAGTGATAGCGCCCAGGCTCAGAGTTCAAGCCCCACGACAGACAAAAGAAAAAAAAAAAAAGAGAATCCATTCAGAACTTTTTGGCCAGTCAGCTGCAAACCCCTAACTAGAAGGAAATTCTCTATCCCTGGTCCATTACCAAGGTGTCTGGCATTCTCTGTGGCTGCCATCAGGCTAGACTGAAAAGTAAAAGAGACCCTACAGGGTGTGGAACTTATCTTGTTAACAGGGCTATGATGGGGGTGGGGGGGGTCTCTGTGCCTCTTACCAGCTCAGGTATGGTGGATGTGAGAGCGGGATTTAACCAGGGATCTCCCAGGGCAGGCGTTACCGGGAGAAGTGTGGCCATTCTTGTTTGAATGACATGTCTTCTGGTCCTCCCAACAGTCCTATTCATTAGCACCTCACTTCTACATGAGAGTTGGCTCAACAAGTCTCACTTGCAGGTGCAGGTGCAGGGATCTGCAATCTCAAGGCACACTTCACGTTGTATTCTCTGGAGCTGAGTTCTGTGGTTCCACCCACACAGCAACAATGTAAACAGGGCCCTGGAGACAGCAACGCTGTCCTTACCTGCCAGAATTTCTCCTTGGGGTGTGTGTGTGTGTGTGTGTGTTTGTGTGTGTGATGTCCACACTGGGGTTTGAACTCAGGGCCTGGGCCCTGTCCCTTAGCATTTTCAATTAAGACTGGTTGCTCTGCCATTTGAACCATACCTCTACGTCCAGCTTTTTAGTGGTTAATTGAGGATAAGAATCTCACCAGCCAGGTGCTGGTGGCTCATGCCTATAATCCCAGCTACTCAGGAAGCTGAAATCTGAGGATCACAGTTCAAAGCTAGCCTGGGCAGACAAATCCAAGAGAAGAAAAGTTGCCCAGCAAGTGAGCAGCAGAGCCGACCTGAACTGTCTGATGTCACAGCTGCTCTCTTTTGACTCCAGCCCTCGCTCCGCTCCGTGCCAGCTTACCCAGGGACAATGGATGGGGGATGTTGTGTTAATGGCATCTGTCATGTCGCTGACTGATCGTGAGGCAACCACGATGAGCCAGATGCCAGCCGATGGGCAAGGGCGTGAGTGATGGCAACCAGTGTGTGAGTGATGAACTCAGCTCTTGCAGGAGATGAGGATGAAAAATCTCATGACTGATCCCCATGTGAGTGAAGCTGCCAGGTCCGTCCCAAGGAGACAGCCAGAGGCTGTGGGTGGAGGGAGAGTCTAACACCGGTGCTACCCTGGGACCTGGGACCTGGATGCCTGGCCCTGACTTACTCCTGGCCATGCGGGTGGGGCTTGGTGCTGCCTTGACTGGGCACAGTACTTGCTCCTGCTCCGCAGCTGCCCAGCTGGGTCTGGATCCAGACTCAAGATATGTGTGCAGTATGGGAGCCCTAAGGAAAGATGACCCCCAAAGTTTGGGCTGGGAGGAAGTAAAATCTACCCTTTTCAGAGGCATTAAGCTTGCTCACACTGGATCCAAATCCTGGCTCTGCTTTGAGCCCATTGTTTAACTTCTCCCTCAGCTTTGATGGCTTCTCAAACAGCCTGCCCCAGAGCTGCGAGCATCTCCTGAGCCCCAGAATCAGCACAGAGGTTAGAGGTTCAGCTTCAGGTTCCTTCTCTAGCAATTGCTTGATAACTTGGGGCAAGCTGTCCAGCCTCAGTTTCCTCACTCCTCTATAAAATGGGGACAATAATAGTAGCAGTCCCTCTAAATGGTCATGAAGATTAGAAATCTGCAGTGCTGGAAACTGTAAGATCCTGCTAAGAGTTATGTAACTAGGCTGCCTCCCAAAATGCTGGGATTACAGGTATGTATCACTATGCTCAGACTCTTAATACTCTTATTAATGACTACCAGGTTCTTTATCACATTTAATCCACTCAAACTTCTCTGAGAGATCAGGAGTTGTCCCCTTGTTACAAATAAGACAGTAAAGCTGGGGAAGGAGAACAGGAGGAAGAGGATACCATTTCTCTTATTTGCTTCAGTTCTGGTCATTTTTAGCTCCAACAGCAGCTGAATCATTCTTCCCAGCTTCTGTCTTCCCAAGTCTCCACCTAGCAACTGACAACAATGTTGTTCTTTTTTTTTTTTCTTTGAGGGGAGGGACTAGGAAATATGGGGAAGAGAAAGGGTCTGTGCTTAAATCAATAATCCCATTATTAGTCTGTCACTATAACTGTGTTTCACTTTTTTTTAAATGCTCTGGTGAATGTTGGGCTAACCCATGGGGGACTGAATTTCATCTCTCATTGTTCTGGATGGTTCTCCCTAGACAGCCTCAGGATAACCCGGCCCAAGGCCCTGAGGGCTCCTCCTCTGGTCATCTGGCATTGGACCAGGCATTCGATTTCATTTGTTCAGTAAAGACGCTTATGCTAACAGGCATTTTATTTCTGTAATGCTAGGATCGAACTCAGGGCCATGCACACGTTAGGCAAGTGAATGCACTGTCACTGAGCTACACCTCAAGCCTCTTCAAGAGGGATTTTGGTTCACATGTAGTTTACACCCACTGAACATTTATTAAGTTCTGGACTTCTTGGCTTTGTCTCAATGAATCCTCTTAACTACCTCGAAAAATGTGTATCATTTTTCAAATAATGAAGGAGGACAGGCATGGATGGCTCCTGCCTTTAATTCTAGACACTTAAGGGATTGAGATCTGGAGGACAGCCCTCCATCTAAAAAAGAGCATACAGCTTT